AGTACAATTACAGCTCAGCGTACCTCGATTTCTTATCTTGAAAACTAGAATATTTATTTTCTTGAGGTTTTATGTGGGTGTAGTCTAAGTCATATGCTGATTATCCGATAAATTTAGCTTATTTTTTATTCAGTAAACTCTAAGATGTCCCACTTGCACTATTTTTTCGGTAAAATACAAATAACTCCTGATCGAGAGATAGATGGTCAAAAGACAAAATAGATCTTTTTTTCGCGTGAATTTCTAGAGCCTTGATGGTCTCTTATTATATTTTTCAATGGGTATGATGCACAGATGACGTCTATGCTATGTTGGAGAGGAAATATTCTGTGATTCTGAGCGCAATCAGTAAAATATGAGCGAACAATGATATAGTAGCGATACATTGTAATGGCAGAGCCCCATCAGATACAATCATGCAATAAACTAACAGTTCATTGCTGATTTCTCAAGTTGATCATATCATAGATATTTCATTACGAACATCATTTTATTCCAACCTAGGCATAAAACAGCTATATAACTCGTATTAAAGCGTCTAGGGAAACTACTGTAACGCGATTATTAAAAATCGTTCGATTTTATATTCTTCAATTTTTATTTGTTGCAAATAGATAGACCAAAAATTTCTCTACGAAATGAGACCCTTTTACAAATCGGGGCGATTCTTAATATCCACATTATTAGAGACGTTAGCCCACTTTTTCATCGGCGGCGGCGGAGAAGTGTAAAAAAATTGACGGCGCCGGCGGGTGTGTAATGCAGCAAGGAGCCGCCTTCCGTGGCGGCGGCGGCGGCGACGAAGTTATTAATGAGTTACTTCCGAGAAATTTGTTGACTGTAGCTTTAATGCAAACGTTAGTCGTTCCGATCTGGTAACAACATGATCTCTAGACACATTGAGTTTCGCGCAAAAGAAAAATAGTTTTTCAACGTATTTTATTTATTTTTCATTAATTACGAAGTGCTAAAAAAGAAACTCGAACTGTAACAATTCGATCGGCGGCGGCGGCGGCGGAAAAATCCCTGCTCAAACAACGCCTTCGGCGACGGCGAAAAACCGGCGGCTAACATCTCTACACATTATAACAATCTTCTTAGATGTTCCAAAAACAATCAGAAATAACTGGTCTATAAAAACTGGTTCAAATCGTGCCTCGTGCGCTAACTAATACTGAAACTTTGTCTGAATATCGTTCTTATATAAGATAAGGTTTTCTGAGCATTTTAAATCAAAAAAATATTTTTGGAAGCGACATACGTTTTGCCGTTATCAGTTATAGCTCTGTATTGTCACCGCCAAGTCAAAATAAGAATGATCATCGTGAAAGTCACTATCAAATATTGTCATCGCCGTTACTAATAACAAAAATGGTCAATGAATTAAAGAAAAATATATATATAACAAAAGAGAAACTAGACTTATAACTGAACAACAACGACTATAATCTTAAACCTAAATGGACAATAATTGAAAATGTTGAATAGTTAGTTAATCATCGATATGTGATACAGAGTTGTAACTGGGCCGGCAGATCGACCGGTCACCAGCTGGCCCGGTCTGGTGCCGGTCCGTTCCGGTGTAAAAGTTTAGCCCGGCCGGTCTCCACCGATCTTTTGCCGGTCTAGAAAGATTTTCAGACCGATCGGTGATTGATCAGTTTTTTGCCGGTTTTGAAATTCTTAGAAATTATCTCTTCTTCACTAAAAACAGTGAGTTTTTCTGCCCTCTTGTCTGTCTAGAAAATTTTTGAAAACCGGCCGGCTTTCTGCCGTTTTTTCACCGGTCTAAACATTTTTTCAAAACCGGCAGGTCTTTTGTCGGTTTTTCACCAGTCCAAACCGATTTTTAGACCGACCGGTGGCCGGCAGGCCCGGTCGCTTCCGCTGTTTTGGGCCGGTCTCTTATTTTTAGACCGGTTACAACCCTAATGTGATATATTTTATTTCAAATGAAATGAATGAATATTTCTTTGTGTGTAATATGAAAACTGATTTAATTTTCAATTTATTAGATATTCATAACTGACCTCAAAATAACATTTTTTTATTAAAATAATTTTGTTTGCTTGGAAAAAAGAAATTTATATTATTATTGACTAATGAAAAAAAACGTTTTTACCAATCAGATATGAGATGAATTTAGCATTCTCAAATCAACGCTGCCAAGCAAACAATTTTTTTTTAAAATAAACTTGTATATGCTCACTCGTTCAATCTCAAATAGTGTTGGACTATAAACAAAATAATCCACTAATATAGTTTTGTAAACTTCTCACCGTATTTCATTACTAATATGTATATCAATAAATATTAAATAAATATATAAAAGACCAAATTAAAAAAATAGATAGAAGAATGTACCACCGTAATATCAATATTGCTTCTCTTTTTTTCTTTTTTTTTTAATGCTATGATGCTGTGGTCAATGATTGTCGTCTTATCAGGCTATATATCTTTTCTTCGTTTATTATGTGCCACACACATAACCTTCACTAGCATCGGATAGAAAAAATGTTACAAAACGAAAGTATCTCACAGTCAATGGTTATCTTTCTTTTCTTTTTTAGAATATGTTAGTTTAAATTTTTACATCATGTCATATTCCTATTACTATGTCATCTCCTACTGTATCATTTATTTGCACTATTCTTCCTTCTCACGTATATGAGATACTTACTTGACCTTCAGGAACATTTTAGATCACAAGACACAAAGAACAACACAACAATGGATTTGATAAGAAAAAATAACAACTTATTTCATTCGCTCCTAATAAATACGACGAATAAGTAAAAATTTATAATAAGAAGATATAAAATAGACTTTATAAGTTTCCTTTATTTTTCCTGCTCTAACCACAAGTCTAGGAAACTCGGTCATGTTATACCCTTCTTTTTCTTCATAGTATGCACAAGATAAAACTTCAATCCGACGTTATTTACTTTACATAAATAGATAAGTTTTTCGCTACAATGTGTAGTTTGACAAATCTTTTTTATTTTGTTATATATTTACTCATACTTTGCACTATGACTTCTCACGTTTTAAATAGATTAGGATAACAAAATCTGTAAAAGTTTTGTTTTACAAAAAATAAACTGAACTATTAAATAACTGAGAAGAAATGGTAGCAAATCCAAACTTTAGAAAATTGAAGGACAGCTAGTATTACAATTATAAAAAACAATTTTCCGTTGAATAGCATACTAAAAACAATTGCATGTGATATAAGTACATACGTACATGAATAATGATGCTACTGTACATAAAATATGTAATAAAAGTGGCTTAAATATTTCAAAGATGACGGACAAAATAATTTCCTTGTTCTATGTTTATAACTGTTAAATTATTATAAAAAAAGGAAAAAAAGATAAGATAAACAATCAGACTGACACTTTTTAGTTGTATATTAGAGCTACAAAAATTATTTGAATTTATATACTAAGTTAAAGTCTCAATAGACTTATATCACGCATGCTATACATACGTGAAAATATTTAGCATTGTAGAATTAGAATATCAAATCAAGTGATTTAAATCTTTTCATCGTTTATGTCTTTTATAAGGAGAATATTTAGACGGCAACGTTTTTTCGTTATAAACCGTTTATTCTGATTCGTATGATTTTCACCACTAAAATATCCAGTTATAAAAAAAACTCGCTTAAGGGAAAGTCCCCCATCCGGTTTTTTTCACAAGCTTGTAGCGGACACCTCATAGTATATGTTTCAAAGATTTTTTGACTTTATTTTTTAAGGTTTTTTCGCGTATATTGCCCTATTTTTAAAATTTTATTAAAAAGTTCAGTTTTAGATATGAAGAGATGACTCTGACATAGTTCGATAGTGGACATTAAATTGTATACGGAAAAAATTCTTGAATAAAGTTTAACGTAAAAATTTTACTTTTACTTTCCCCCATGAGATTCCAGAGCTAAAAGTATTCTGAAAAATATCTTACGATTAGGTTCGCTTGAAACAAGTGTTTTTTTGGAATAAAAATCTGAGTACGAAAGTTGTTTAGAATCAAATTTTGAAGTCCATCACAAGAGCCTTTCTCAAAAACAATTTAAAAAACAAAATTTAAAAATTTTTAATTTTAAAATCTAAAAAAATATAATATAATACCATTGTTCGCTCAAATTTGAAGTGAATCACAAAATATATAGATAATCTTTAATTCGATTCTGGAGTTTTTTTGGCTTATTAACATTATTTTTGGTTGAGACGAAAATTAATTATTTAAAAAACTGTTAAATTTCAGAGCATAGGACTATTATTAAAAAATTTCTGTCCATTCTCCATTCATCATAAAACGTGATTCTTGCATAGATCGATAGAGAACTATGTGGAGAATATTTACTACGAGAAAATATGTAAAATCTTTTGTTCTCTCCTTTCTGTTATTGACTAATTAATGTTAAGTCCCCCCCCCTCAGGGTCAGAAACCTATCTCAGCCCAGATAGGTCTAATCTGAACCAAACTTTCAGGGAATGCTGACCGTGTTAAAGTGTGGTAATGAAATGTTTTTTTATGGCCCCAGGTGCAACTGTTCGTGAGGGGGCGCCACAACAAGGGGCAAAAATAGGCTTCTACCACGTGAAAGAATTTTCATTCCAGGTAAATGACAGAGAGCTCGGGTTCTTTTTATTTTGCAGTAAACACTTATGGCTAGGAGTTGACAGAGCCCGATTTTTGAATTTCTGGTGCTTAGTAGAACTGCAAAATTTGAAAAATCCTTGGAAGGTTTCTTAGAATTCCTCATTTCTATAAAAAATGGAAGCATAATTTAAAAATCGGACTCTGTCAAGTCCTAGCTAGAGGTGTTGAAAAAAAAATTATCTTTCTCCTTTATATCTTTACGAAGAATTCTTGCAGGTGGCGAAAGCTCTGAAGGTGAAAAACAGTTTTGAGAAAACATACGGTTTGATTCTGTTAAATGCGTTTTACTTGAAAACTATTTGAGCGTTAAATAATTTCTTGATACTTTTCTGGAGGTTGTCGATCATGACGGATCTAACGGACATGTGCATCACATGAGTACACATATGCAAACATAGTTATCTGGAGAAAAAGACATTTTTCAGTCTATTTTTTTCGTGTCAAGGGTTCTGGAAAACTCGCTGAAAAACTATAAAAGGCCTATCCTATCGACACAAAAATTATGCCATTAGAAAGGAGACACTTTGGGCTATCGAACCCTGTGCTTTTCTCAAAATCAATATTTTTGACGAAAATAGGCATTTCTGATCCGAGAGTAGGGATGTTACGAACCTGAACCTACGTTCGAAGTTCGGCTTCGAACAGTTCGAGTTCAAAGACGTTCGATGTCAAAGTGTTCGGCTTCCGAACTCGAACTTCGAGTTTAGGTTCGGAAGTTCGAGTTCGACGTTAAAGTAACGTTAACGTAGATTTAGCAGCAAGGGTGGCTAGACACGGCTCGTAGAACATGCCTGGAGCTTTTTTGATACTGTAAACTTTGAGCGGATATAATTTCTCACGTTCTGCCCCTAGTTTCATGGTGCTTAATGAATTAGTATTGCCTCTAGCAATCAGTGTCTCACACAGGCTGTAACCTGTAACAGTGAGTCATTTTCAAAACAATCTGGGTTAGTCTCTATGATCATAATATTTAACCTTTTAAGATATTCTACATCTTTAGTCTATCACATATAACAGTCTTATATTAAACATTTATTTCTCCCTCATAGAGCAGACGTCCAGTTTAGACATAGTCAGGATCGTCCCGACGGGACTGGGATCGGGACCAAAAAGGTTTTTTACTGGGATCGGAACTACAACGTTTTTATCCGGGACCGAACTGGGACCAACACTAGAACTAAGATGTGTTTCGACAGTTGCATAAAATCAGCTAAAACTTGACCTGTTCTCTATACTAAAATAGAAACATTGTGGAAAATTGTCAGGAAGTCTTACAGTTTTTTCCTAGACATTGAACTTCACATTTACATCATGCACACTTTATTAATAAAGTATTTTCTCCGGCATCATAAAAAGTTTCCGGGACCGGGACCGGCCTGAAAAATCTTGGTCCCGCTCATGTCTAGTCCAGTTTGAGAATTTTTTCTTCATCCTTTTAAACACAAATGTATTGTCTTTTTTAACAATTGTGACATATCTTTTGTGTACTCGTGTTCTTAACACATACATATTGTATCAGAACAAAGGAAATCTATGTTATATTATTCACGCTTTTGTTTGTAGCAAAAACTATTTTTATTATTCACGCTTTTGTTTGTAGCAAAAACTATTTTTATTATTCACGCTTTTGTTTGTAGCAAAAACTATTTTTCGAGTAAAAGTGCGAAAGTGGAAGGAAAACATTAATATGTGCAAAACTCGTATTTAGGAGAGTATATAATAATTGTCTGACTATCTACTTTACTTTGTTAAATATTTGATGTCGAACTCGAACCCGAATTTTTTAAAGGCGAACTCGAACGTCGAACTTTGCTCGAATCCGAACTTCGAACGTTTGGGTTCGTAACATCCCTACCCGAGAGGAGCCTTAATTTACTCTACTCTGCTAGTTTAAAGTCCGATTTGCAAAAAATAACGACTTAACGAAAATATTCAAGCAATATCTTATCTCATTTCACGGGCTGCAAGGCAGAAAAGTACCGTAGGTATGCATCGGACTTTATCCTATTCTGTACACAAAGCAGGAGATTATAATCAAACGCCCTATAAATCTCATGTCACGATATTTTTTTCGGTTTACTAATAATGAATGACGTTTTTTTCAAAGCCGCAGACTATGACACAGCACAGGAGGTCAGACTACAACATGCTTTTCTTCTTCAGTCATTACTTTATGTATACTGATACAGGTTATCTTTAGTAGTACAAAAAACGCAAATTAAGCTACGCACAGAGGTCACTAACAAAGCGGTAGATTCAATACAAGCTGTTTTTCTAAATGAGCATTTATTTACTATAATTTCTGATCTTTCTAGATGATATAAAACAGAACAAAATTTTCGGACGGTAGCTCAGGATAGGACGGAAGCTACGTTATTCTACTAGAATTTTCCAAAATGTATTTGCAAAATATTTTTAGATGCGAATACGTCTAGATATTGTTCGAACGTCGTTGTTTCCTTTTAACTTCAAATAGTAACTCTAAGAAGCCAGGAGCAATGCGAATTGGCGTATATAGTCTTCTGTGATGATACTATTTGGAGCTAAAAGGACGCAACGTTCGAATATGTTTTGAAATAAGTAACCGAGACAAGGTGCGGTACTACCGATTGGCTACAGACTGCGCCAGTGAGAATAGAATACAAAATTGTGAATAAGATGTGCTTATTATTAATACTATACCATACAATACTGTACGTGCACTAATCAATTTTTACTATTCAAAACGAAAAAATGAATGAAATAAGGACCTATTTCCATCTGATTACATACCGGGAGATAATGTTGCAAGCCCCTTCTGCTGCCCTCATCCTCGCAGAGCGATTCTTTCACGGCTTAACTGCAACCATGTTGGAAACAAAAAAACTTTTTTGCAGACTGATATCTGATTTATCAGTCTAATATCATTTCTCCAGGCTTTTATTAGCGGTGTTTACATGCATATATTGTCTGAATTTTGTTTCTTTCTAATGTGTTTGGTATTTCTTGTCGCTTCCATGTAGCTTCATTTCGCATTGTAAGAAATAAGATGAAATGTGCATGCGAATGTGAATTTACTGAAATTAAGGCTGCTCTTGTTGAGTTGCTATTTAATGCAAAGTACATAGGAGGATTTCATGTCCACTAACACCAGAAAAAGCCAGATTATTAGCGACAATTAATTGCTAGTATCCGTTTCATTAATATTCTAGCATGTGTCAATGGATGCTATTAAAGAGAGCTCTATGTTTTCCGGCTTTTAGCTTTATTAGATTTTCTTTAACAATGTTAGTGGATAATGGCACTTTAGAAAAGATATATAAAATGCAAAGGTTTTACATGCTTTATTAACGGTGTGAAAACAGTTATGAGATTTATCTCTTGTTTGTGTTGATTCTTAAAAATGTTGTGCATATGTTAAAGATGTCGAGGACAAGCGTGTCGAGTTCAACCGATGAATCAGTGTATGTAAAACGTGCGATTAATTTTATCAATGTATCATCTATTTGCTTTGCTTTTGCCTTTTTCAAGTTTTCAAGGACAATTGTTTAAGTTTACAAATCTAATTAAAGGTTGGCAAATACGAACTTTTGTTCTGGATACAAATAGAAAAGTATTACTGTATTTCATGGTAATAAACGTTTTTCTATTATTTCGCTTCACAACTACATTTTGTTTTTTTCTTTAGCCAGAAGATTTCCGAAAGAAACCACCACGAGGTGTGATTGATCTGATAGTATGGATAAAATTCATTTTGTTTATTTTACATATGTTGTTATTATTATATTGTTGATATAGGATGCGTGGATTAGTCCATCTATCGAGGATGATATTACATTTATTGTGCACACATCTAGTGGGGAAACATATAAATTAAGAGGTGAGTATATTTTTTTTATTAATAGAATCGAAATTTGTGTAGAATGTTATATTTTCAAGCAACCGCTGCAAAAGAAAGACAGAAATGGATTGATCGTTTACGTTCGAACACGGGTGAAAATGCGGTCGAAACGGTAGGCACAAATGTTAAATTACGAGAAGAATATTGTGCATGTGTTTTTGTTTATGGTTTAGTATGCTTCTTCCTTACCTTTGCAAAAACTTGTCAGCAGTGTATCCGCCATTAATGATTCGTTACTTATTTCTGCAAGAAGCGATTCAATGTCTGTTTCTAATAAAACCAAAGAAAACGTTGCGAGTTCGATTGTTTTTTTGTTGCAGTCTACATCATCGTCAAACACTTAGAGAGTTAAAAGAAGTTATAAAATTTACAGGTACTAGTCAACAAGAATTTGTTGAAACAATTGATGTAAGCGTACAATCCGTCTACTCGTTGTCATCGCATTGACTTCTATTTTACGCTGTTTTCTAGACTATTCCTGGTTCATTCCGATTGAATTCTTTAAGCAGGGTAAACAATTTGCTTTTACATGAAGATGACAAACATAAAAAGTGTTCCTTTGCCTTTAGCAAATGCTTTTGCTTCGTTCGATCAGTCAATCATGTGTGATCCCACTACAAGAAAGTTTTGCCGTATTAATCAACAGAAGGCTAGTGGAGTTTAAGTCAATCACTTTTGACCGAGACCATTTTCTAACTTAGAGACCTATGAAACATTATCAACCTTTTTTGTTATCCAGAAAAAAAATCCATCTAATTATAATTGTTACTTGTGGATAAACTCATAATATAGTTATTCATACAGAATTTTGTGCCGAGAATTTTTGTGTAAATCATAAATTGTCCTGTGCTTGAATGTTTTTTTTCGTTCATCATTGATGTTTTAGGCTTTTTTTTGTTTAGGACACCTGCAATTGATATACTTCCATCTTTCTCACCTTCATCCCAACGTCTACCGTTAACAAGACAACTCAGTCAATCGTATGGTGGCACAACTGGAGGTAGTTTCACACCTCCTCGGTCAGTGATCTCGATGAACAAAACTTTAAGGTTTGTGAAGAAAAAATAATGATATTGTTAGATAAAAATCAATTTTTTCTTTAAACTGTAGTCTTACTGGTTTAAATCACCCAATAACCGAACGACTTTCTACTTTTACAAAAATAAAATCATCGAAATGTAAGTATCACACCATTACCATTCTACTACCCTAATACTTTTACGAAGTGAGATAATTTTCATGGTGCTGCCTGAAAACTTGCAGTTAACCATTCTTCTATTTAGAGTATTCGAATGAGAATCATGTACCACTACGATAATAAATGATAATGCAATTTTATTATACAATATGGACATACAACAAAAATCTTTCAAGTTGTCGTCTTTTTCTTCTTTTTTTCTTTCAAAGATCTGACTCAACAGTCTTTGAATGAAACAGACACTCTGGAATATATCAGAGATCTAAATATTTCGATGCGATCAATAGTTAAGTGGAACTTTTACTGAGACAAACGATCTGAGCAGTTAAATTGTGCAAGTTTATGCTGTAAAGGGCAAATTTTTATGCCTCTAAATGACATTAGTCAACTGCAGTGGTCAATAATGTGTGGGTGTTTTGCATCTTCTCAGTTTTTTATTGTACATAGAGGATAATTAGGTGATCTCATTAACTCAGTAGTGCATAGTCATGAGGTTTTTTTTGTTTGATACAGTGTTGATACGTTTTTTATTTGAAACGCGTGCAAACGATGAAATAATAGAAACGCGTTCAATAGATGCTTGAAACGCGTTTCAACTATCGGTTGAACGCGTTTCTATTATTTGGTCATTTACACGCGTTTGGAAATCATTTCAAACGAAAAAAAACCTCACTGAGATGTTCTTTTTATAATCTTCATTTTTCCGTTGTCTTTCATATACATATTTATTTTGCCAACGAAAATTAGCATAAGAATTGTAAGTTTTTCGCTTACGATGACATACTACACTTATTATTTTTTTGCTAAAATCATTTGTCAAATAAATAACGAAACCGATTACACCAAGTCTTTAGTAGACATGCACCGAGTAATTGACGAAGGATTTTATATTTTTTGAAAAATCTAGCGAAGAGAAAGGTTTACTCTACATTCCTCCTGAGACAGCAAATTTTTAAGGAAACAATTTACGAAACGCCAGATTTTTCAAAAAGTATAAAATCCTTCGTCAATTATTCGGTGCATGCCTAGTCTTTAGTATGTTTTGTTTCTTGGGCAACTGTTATTTGCTTCTTTGAGTAATATACACTATTTTCTATTTTTCTTTTGAATATATTAACTTGATATTCCATTTTTCGTCTTCAGTCCGTTTATATATTTTTCTACTTTTAGTGCAATAAATCAATTTTATAATCTCATCAATATTTGTGACGAACATATATCATTTTTCTCAACTTTGTCTGCGCTCAGTTCAAATTAAGACTGTATATATACATGATAAATACCTAATTCTAGATGTAAAAGATAATATCATGGCTGGTGAGAATTCGGATTTAAGTCTATTATCAATTGAAGTATTGATTGGTCGTGTGGAAATCGATTTAGACGCGGAATGTCATTTACCATGTATTGTATTTCGTTTACTCGATTATCCAGCTGTTTCTATTTCCTATTTTGATCAATGGCAAATTGAACAATTTCATTTGTACAAGCATGAAAATAATTTGAAATCATGGAATGAGTTGTCAGATCAATTTTATGAGTTACGTTCACCAAGTGGCGTCTATGAATTTAAACGTGGTAAATCATGTCTTTTCAAAACATATTTGAATAGATTACGTTCACATTTGTTAAATGTACCATTATTTTTATTACTTATCGATCAAATTAATATGGCGAATGTAGATAATAGTTCAACACAATTTGTCGGTAGCTGTACAATTAAATTAGACAAATTAATCGAAAATTTATATAATTCTATTAAAATGCATGGTTACGATACACCACTTGTCGAGCAGGAAACAAATTATTGTGATTTATTTAACCTGATGGGTAGAAAAATTGGCTCATGTGATCTCGCTGTTCGTCTATGCCATTATGGTAAAACAATTTTAACGCATCTACCAATGTTGGATACTGATCACAAGCACGTGGAACAAGAAAAAAAGTAATATTATGAATTTATTATGAATTTTTGTTCTTTTGATGGGTAATTTACGTTAAACCTCTTGAAAATGTGGTCTTAAATGGTTTTATTATTTTAACTATTAAAATAGGCTCTAAGAATATAGACTGTTAGTTCTCTCGACTACATGTATAGGTTATTCTAAAATCTTTATTCGGTTTTCTTTTACTGTCGTTTTATTTGTATTTGATCACTAAGGCTTCTTTCGGTCTGTTTAGTGTGAAAAACCAGTTAGCAACCAATACTGGAGTGACAGCTGAAAAACCTCTAGAAAAACAAAAATTGCAACCTTCAATCGAAATATCAGATACCGTTGTTAAGCATATTGAGTTTGTTAATGAGAAGAAAGATGTTGCTTTACAATTATCTCGATATGATTTTCCATTATCGATGAAATCATGTGCTGTACAAACACAATGGACAACGACAACAGTGAGACAAGAAAAACTTACTGTGACAACAACTGAACCAGGGGATGATTTAACTGTAATGGCCTATCGTCCACCACCACTCTATTTCAATTCTGATTCTGACTGGCTTTGTATGAAAGCATCAATTCCATCATCTCCATCATCACTTGAAAAAGCAAAAGAAAATCGTCTTACTTATCTTGCCTCCATTCCAATAGCGAGTTTTGATGAAAGTAAACCCACAAAACATCCTGTTAATGTTCATTTTGATCTACGACGACATGAAGCCAGCGAAAAGTCATACTCGCCTACATCACATTTACCAAAAGATTTTTTACATAATTTTCCACTATTACGATCCTTGGTACAGGAAGCACTAGCTATTCAACAACGTAATATACCACAGAAAAAAAGATTGCCGTTACCCATTACTGATCGTCCTCATTCAGCCGATCAACAAATAAAGTCTACTAAACGAGTAAAAAGCCCTAGAATAAAATCCGCGCGAGTAATTGTAAAACAAACTGATCAAACAAAACGTTTATATCCATTACCATCATCGCAATCGATGGTATCAAAAACAGAAATTCGTGCATTAGTTGATCGTTTATCAAAGCCAAAGTTTAATAAGAGAATAGAAAAAGAAATTCTTTTAATAAAACAAACTCCAACAGTAGAACCGTTGAAATCTGCGCGAGTAAGTCAGTTTTGTAAAGCATGATTGAGAAGTTGACTATTCTACTCACACACTCTATTTGTAAGCTCTGTCTTCAAAAGCTGAAAACTGCCAACCAACTGGGGATGTAAGCTGACAAACTCTCAATACATTTAAACGATAGTGTTTTCGAATGCGCACTACGTTTTTAATAATTTATTTTGACTAATGTATAAAACCGATGTTGACTGATTAGTAAATGAGCTTTGAAATGCTATACGTTCGTGAGAAAATATTAGTGAACTCAACGTATAGTTAAAAAAGTAACATGGAATGACATATGAAAATTAATACATAAAACCAATGAATAACTCTTTGGTAATCTCGATATTGTTTCGATTAAATATTTTGTAAAGCATTATAAAAATTGTTAGGCAAATTGAGATGACAGAGCGACTTGATAAAGAAATATTCAATATATTTTTTTAACGAATATGGTGATAGTGGTGTTGAGATTGATATAATTCAAACTGTAAATTAAACATCAAACATAACGTGACAAATTATAATTATGCTATAGAACACACTGCAAAGTAGTCGATAATATCGAATGTTGGTTCACATAAATGCGATTTCACAGTATCAACAAACAGGAGGACATCTGCTGATATTTTAGATGCTAAAATGAAACCTTTAGTATTAATGGGATTCACAAATTTACTAAACTGACGTGACCAGCATTATGTAAACTGCTGATATCGGGTTGTGTACAGAACTATTTGAAAAGAGTTCAGAGATAGCGAACTAGCTTTCAGAGAGAATGTTGACGTACGAGAGTTTTTGCTATCAAATAATAGATTTCGTCTACGAACATTAAGAAATCTTTCTATTTTAAAGCCTTGGTGCTAGAAATTTGTCAGTTTGTTTTTGAGAAAACTTTTAGCTAACGCTGTTTTTTCCATACTATTTTCCTGTCCCAATTTAGTTGAAACTAATGAACAGCAATATGTTGTGTATTCTTCGCCTATTTTAGTTAGTGAATAACAATGCTCAAACAAAAAAACCGCCTCGTTCAACCGCTAATCCATCGTATAGCGTTACAAGAACAATGAAACTTCGTGCTGCTCATGCTCGTCGTCAATCTCAAATCGTCGCACCAGATCAAACAAAATCTAAGCAAAATGCATCATCTCCAAATAACAGTACTAATCAACAACAATTGTTAAACACAGCGACATTATCATTACTCAACAAAGTCGACATTGACAGTACAATGGAAAAACCTCCGCAGAAAGATGAACAAGCTCCAATATCAAACATAGCAACAAATACATCATCAACAGCAACAAGTAAAGATGGCAGTTTCAAAATAAATACATCAACTTCAACCACAACTACAACAGATACGTTGAACTCAACAACTTTAGAAAAATTAAATTTAAATCAACAACAAGATAGAAAGGATGATGACATTCTCTTTTCCATAACTGATGTAACAGATTAGTAAGCGTACAGTACTTTTAATAATGCTCTAGATTATCAGGACTAAAATAAAACCATATAACTCCTATAAACGAGCTATTTTTCTTGTTTTAGTTATCGTAACGAGACCAATCCGCGAGAAGATTCAAGTATTACAGTCACAACACGTGAATCTGTCTAACATTTTTCATATAAAATATGCAACAGAATTGTTTAATTTTTAGTAATAATAATGTTTTTCTATTTCCGTCCATGAATATTTGCCATAGATACCTTTTGTTTTTTAAGAGGGTTTTTTATAGTTGTGCGATACTTTTTTATGTTTTTTTAACGTTTTGGGAATCTCTGGAATAAATATACGAAGTATTTTATATAACGGATTAAATCAATCAAACAAGGGAGAAAAACTTTATTATGTCTATAAGCATCGTACCTTTACTTGAACTAATGCGCTTTTTGGATTCTTGATGCCCACATCCAGTTTTTCGAAATCAGGAGTTGATCCGGAGACTTATTTCTAAAATCAGGAAACAAGAGTATCAAGCAGCTTTTTCTTGGACAAGCAAAACAAAAAAATCCAATAACTTTTTCAAAAACATAGTTTTATTGAAAAAATTTTTTTTTCAAATATTTTTTCATGAAAATGTATCATGATTTGTTACAGACTGCAGTATGGATTGAGGAAGGAGATTTTAATCCGATGGCTTTGGAGTTCATTAATCACACTGCTGTGATGAGAACATTCGATAAGTACACAGCGGCTCTTTCAATGTACAATTATTTAGACTCTTAATCTAGAAATTCCGTTTCTTAAACTGATAATCTCAGTTTTGGAAAAAAACGAAATCAATGCAGGAAAACAATCGGAAATCAGAAGAAATCAGAAGAAAATCTTAAAAATCAGCTCCTGAAATCAGGAGAATTTTCATCAGTATAAAAATCTAAAAATCAGGAGCCTCCTTGTCATATCAGGAGATTTGGACACTCTATTCCTGATAATCATCTTTCCACGAAGGTAAAGATCTCAATTTGAAATAGGTACACAATGAGTATACTATAGTATGGTCTACATGATCAAATCTCATAATTCAATTTGTTTATAGGAAATCCCCAGGACATACAACTTGTAAGAAATAAAGTTTTCGACCGTCCCGAATACTATAGTCGCAATTCTGAATTATAGTCGCCATCTATGGCAGAGACTGTGGCGCTCTGTTGAATATAGCTGCGAAAATAACTCGTATTCATATTTAATATACTCCATGCTGTGTATAATCGTGAGAAATAAAAAATTTGTTTCGAAAATAACAACATTTTTATCGCTGACCGGTTAGTTCTCTGAACGAACCAACAGAGAGGCGCGCTTTGTGTGCGGCACAATTGAAACAAAAGCTCCCTATGGGACAGTGAGTCATTTCATTTCGTCCTTTTTCACTTTGAAGTTTCTTCGTTCTCAGTTAGAGTAACGTCCTTTTTTATGTGTAGACTACTGAAACTTCTTCTCTATACGGGAGTTTCATTATTCTGCATCTTATTGTTCCTGCTTTTGGTAGACGTTCGGAGACCACGGTCTCTATGATCACTGTCTATTTTTACTTTAATCGTTTGAGAATTTAGGACGTTGGTTCAGCTATTGTTTGTTTTATTTCCTTGGAATTTCCCAAAGAATTGTGCGACGATTACGAGGTTTTAGGCAGAGCTCAATGGATCCCAAAATCCTCGTGGAGGTACAATACAAGCCTTTTGCTTTTTGTGTTGGAAAAAAGCAACAATTTTTGAATTATTAGATGGAGGTCGTTCTCAGGGTCCCTGTTACTCACAACAGTTCTGGATTTTTCTATTATTTTATTTTCTAACGGTTGAGTTTCATTCCATCCCGCAGACTTATTCCTGATGTATTCATTTGATGTTGTACATATTCCTGATGTATTCATTTGATGTTGTACTATTCAACTACGTAATAAGGATTTTTCTAATGACGGATTTGATTGTATCGTTGATTCTTTCAGATATTTATAAATTTATCGGATAATCTGCCACCTTGTTTGTCTTGAACGAGAATGGATCAAGAAAATCAACCTCCACCCAATGAATTTCATTATGTGACATTCAGAAAAAAAGTATGTATTCAAAATAGAGCATACGTTGAATTTTGAAAAATAATTTCCTTCTTAGGCTGGTCATAATGAAGATTTCTCTTATATGGATAATTCACATGAAACAATTAAATCAGTTACTCCGAAGCGCCCATTTATATCGTATGATTATGTTTTATCAAATACGTCACCGTCATCTTCTAATTGTTCTCATCAAACCGCCGTAATTCCTCATGAAAGTCAAGGATCGTCTTCTTTCACAACAGAGGAAAAACAAGTACCGTTGACATGTGCGTTTGTGATAAGTCCTCCAACAAAACATGTGTATTCATCTATTCTCGACGATGACAACGGATATGTACCAGCCTATATAAACCAAAAATTCAAGCATCCTCTTCCTTATTCAATTCATAATGCAAGTAACCAACGTACTATGAAAATAATTCAAAAGCCAAATTCAACAACACAGATGAAAACAAGCACCAGCTCACATAGTATCGCATCAATAGCAGCAGCAAATGAATATCAAGGTAAAATTATTTTTATAATTTTTATTTTTGTGTGAGCTTTTTATTTTGGAAGGCTCCTCATTTCAACCATCATTACGTATGCGTGTACCTGTCAATTCATCATCAACAAATACAATAGAAAAACAAGAATACGCTTTTACAATATTATTAAATTCTCTATTTACACCTGATGAATTCGTTAATGTACAACAATCAACATTTCAAGCACAAACAAAAGAGCAGATGCCCTATAAAGCATTAGCTGAAACAAATCGTTGGTATTCGTTACGTGATCGTGCACGGAATTTATACGAAACAGAAATAAAACCGGTAGCAACAAAAATTAGTTGTGATATTGATCAATCACGAATTAATCCAAAAAGTGATTTGAATTTTGCAGCGAGAACAGGTAAAATAACTTTCGATCATAGATTCTTGAATAAGTAGCGAAAGAAAAGAAAAAACGATACAGCCAGAGCATAACGCACAAGAAATAAAATCAGAAAATAAACCATGTACATTCTTCCGTTCATAAAGTTATCAAATACTGTACTATCTCTCCTCTTCTGGGATTGGATTGAGCAATAAAAAGATTCTCAAAAATGTTGTGTTCTGTTCTTTTAGTTAACCGTCAAGCGTTGTTAAATTTTATTTCATCGTATAATCGCACTTGGTTTCGTCTAGCCATGGAAATATTGTTTCCAATTGATATTGATTCGAATCAACCAATGAAAACTTATATTGATCAATATCTTATACAAACAACTACTCTATCAATAACGAAAGCTGTTTCACCTCTAATACGTTTAACATTGAAAAATTTGATTATTATTGTTGTATTCCTTGAACGGGCAAAATTAAAACATCTTATTGAATATGATCCATGTTTATATGTTAAAGAATCGAAATTCAAGTCAACAAAAGATACTCTTGATGTTATATCACGTGATTTTATTAGTACTGATACAAATCTTTTACGCCGTTTAAAATTAGCTGGTGAGTTATCTAGGTCAAATATTGTACCTCGTTTGTGAGATATATGAAAAACTGTACTTTGCCTTTATTATCTGTTTTATGTGGCTAACTATTTCTCATTTGTCTAGGTTTTGAACCACAGTATAAACAAACATCATTAGACGAATATAATTATTCAATTAGTGAAAAACAATTATTTGATGATTTAAAAGATGGTATACGTCTTAGTCGATGTGCCTATGTTCTATTATCATCCAATACTAATCCTTTCTCATTTACTGATCTCTCATCAAGATTGAAATGTCCTGTAGTGAATTTAGTTCATAAACTATTAAATATTGACCAAGCATTTGATTTATTTCAAAAATATGGTCATGTTAATTTATCCGGTATTACAAATAAAGACATTATGTCTGGAAATAAACTACGTACTCTAGAATTATTGTGGAGAATATTTGTTGTTTGTTATGTCCCAAAATTTATTCAATCACATGATGTATTAATAAATGAAATTGAACAATTAAAACAAAATTTAACTGAACATGTTCTAGTACGTCCAATTGAAAAAGAAATCTCAATTGAAACAAATTTACAACTATTCTCACAAAAACAAACAACTCCTATTATTTCTGATATAATGAAATGGGCACAATTAGTATGTGCACATTATCGTTTCTGGATTAAAGATTTACAAGAATCATTTTCGGATGGTCGTGCTTTATTATTCATTATTGCCTATTATTTACCGAATCTTATTAATTATCAAAATGATATTAAACATTATACAACAATTGGTATTTGCCAAACAAAACGTGATCATATTCAATTTAATGATGAATTACGTAGCACCAGTGGTTCCACAGAGCGATTGAAACGTGATGCGATAAAAAATGTAAAATCAAATTTTAAATTATTAGAAGAACGAACAAAACAATTACCAATGTTTCTGAGTGATTTAGTTAAATATGAACAATATATTGCAACTGATATCCCGGATGAACGAGTAACAATTATTATTTTAACATTACTAGCGAGAGATCTGTTATTTTCAAATGCACAAGATATTAACCGAAATCAACAGATATTTGAACAAATCAAGCAACAAATACAATTCGACAATGATTCAGATCAACTTGATGATACTGATCAACAATATCAATCATCTAGGCAAGATTTTTATTTTATATTTGACTAAAACATTTTTGAGTAGATATATGATTCTTCGATAAAACTTAAATACCTAAGTTAAAAAAGTGTTTTTAAGTCTTTAGACTTCAAAGTTCCTTGAAACGATATTCTAATATATCTTCAAATATGATGGAGTTGATACTTGAATTGTTTTCTTTACTTTTTTTTTAGAACTGACAATAACGAAATGAAGTCTCCGATCGAAAATCAGAAACAATTGTTTGCCACATCAAATTTAGAAGCAGAGCGGTTCATTGTCAATACTCCAACACAAAATATGGTGAACAATTCATCTTTAATCGGTGTAAAAAATGAGCCCGTAATACCGACATATGATACACACATCGCAGAAAAATGCATGGAAATAGCTGATTCATCATCAACACATAAAATAGTTGAACAGCAACAACAAATACAAACGGATGAACCAATCCAGACAGAGAAGTAAAGAGTCAAACAATTAAAAATTTCACTTTTTTTAACACTTATAATTCGTTTAAGATCAGACGCTATTCAAGAAGGTAACATTCGCAATATTTTTGTTAGAGCCTAGGATCTATATCTAGGAAATTCGTTGGTAGATTTTAGAAAAAGGATGGAGATAAATTTGGGTGTTCATTTTTAAAGATGGACAAAGAACCTCCTATGGTAAACACCAAGTAACCACCTTATACTCTACTCAACGAGCTCTATCCGATGGTCAACTCAGTTTGGATGTTCACGTATTTTAGTAATACCCAAGATGAAGTGAATATTGAGTGTGACTATTGCCTTCTAAATTATTGCTCAAAATGAAGATGGAAAGTTTTGATTTTTTGTTTCTCTTATTTTTAGCTGTGACGAAATGAATGATGCGTCGTTTTCCGCAGGTGAACGATCTGCTGCCGTTGATGAGGATGAGGATGATGATGTAGTTCCACCAAATGAGAGTTTTATTAATTTTATTAGTACTACAGCAATAAGCAAGTCTTTAAAGGATCCGTTGAATTCGTCATTGGCACAGTTTATTACAGAAGAAAGAAGCATTTTAGATGAAGAAACATTAATGGATGATATTCAAGATTTATTGCAAACAATGTTATCAACTATGGAAATACCTGATGATCACGCAATTTATATAACTAGTAGTCCTACCACTCACAAGTAAGTAATTAAATTTTAAGATACGTTTGTTTTGAAAAATTTGGAAAATCAATTTACTAATACTCTGAAGAAGTATAGAACTTTTATCTCATACTTCTCGGCTGAGAACCTCAGATTAAAAGTCATTTGACCTGGTTTTCAGCTGTTAACTTAACTATTTTTCGATATCCTTTTTTTGTGTTTCAGTCTACCTGATGGGGGTAGCAGCATATTGCAATCAAGTATCAACAATTTAACAGCAGCAGAAATGAAGTTTTCGAATGTGGCGGAAGAAAAAACTGATTTAATGGACTCGAATGATTATGCTGAAGTTAGCGATGTACCTGTTTTTATGCATAAAAGTACCATTGTACTTGATCAATCTTTAACTGATGATGAAAATGATCGAATTTGTGAAATGAATGCTACATTAGAAAATTTGGTGCATGAAATGCAATCAAGATCGCTAATAGAATATGATGAAACAGATAACGATGTTGATATTAATATTCGTACTAACCATAACCAACAACAACAACAAACATCATCTCAAATTGAGAAATTTATTAATCGTAGCCAACAAATTAATTATTATGATGAAAATAACAATGACGAAGATATTGTTGCTGCGGCACATTTACTACTTACATTATCAAAACCACAAAAAAGAAACAACAACACAGTTCTCGAATTACCACCATGCGTTTATGATAAAACATTATCCGATTCATTATATGCATCACTAGAAACAATGTTCAGTAATGATACTGGTTTATCACAATCAATTTATACAACAATGAATCAGAATATATTGGATCGTTTAGGAAAAAGTAAAACATGTAGTAGTGATGATGATGGTGATGATGATAGTGAGGAGGAAGAGGACAACGATTTGTATGGTACAGCATGTTCAGAACAAACAAATGATGGAGTAGCAACAACAACTACTACAAGTAGTACAAGTAGTTTGCCATTCCAAGACTTTGTTGATATTGAAAAGACAGCAACAATTGATCATGAAGTGGCAAATACACATATCCATGACGATTCTAAATCAACTAATAGTGAAATGAGTGAAATGAACACAATCGAAGAGGTAATTCGAGCATTTGTTGGTCATCTTGATAGAAAATACTGATTCAGATGAACTTTGTGACCAGTTAACAGTAATACACGCTGAAAAACTAATTTTGTAAGGGTTATTTCACGGCTTATATCTGTTAATACCAAAAAAGGCACGATAAATACAAAGAATTTGATGTTATCTCTATTGCTATTGTTCTGATTTAAAGTAGACTTTTCTAAAGTTTAAAGATAAATTAAAGTCCGTGGTAAATAATTTGATACGAAGAAATTATTGAAATGATTTTTTTATTAAAAGGAACACTTTGGTATTGATGCACAAATGATCAAAGATACATTGACCAATTTCTTAAAATATGAGAGAAATGTAGTATTACCAATAGTAATAAGAACAGATGACAGCATTACTAATAATAACAATGTCAGCAATTCGGCACAAGCAAATTTCAATGATGACGAAACGGTTGCGACAATAAAAGTTCAGGTAAGTAGTACAATTTACTAACTACAGTACCGAGACGAAGATTAGTTAGTGAATTGATATATGGATACTAAACGTTAACAAGATGCCTGACCTTAGCTAATTTTCTAGTCTCATTGGCGTGGTTATAAAATTCGTCAACGAAATGAAATTGAACAACATCAAATTGTTAAAATACTCGATAAAATTCGCTCTCGTTCACGTTCACAATCAGCTTCACTTTCAACGCAAAAGTCATTGCGTGATCGTACAATGGATATTGTTAATGCTTACAATAATTCCGATACACCATGTAATATTTTAACTGTTTTACGTTTATTGAATGATATTGAACCGATTATTAGTGTTTGTATTGAAATACGATTTTTAATTGCACAACAAGGATTATTACATTTATTTTATCTATTTTTACGTTTCTGTAATCGGAGTGAACCATCAGCTGCTTTATTAACAAAAATATTATCGGTATTAAAATATTTTACGGTTAATAAAGATTTGGTGATGACATTGATTAACAAAATCGATTACATTAATCATTACCGGACATTGTTATTAAAATACTATGCAGCAGATAATATGGTGTTTGATCAAATCTGTGATTTGCTTATGGCTATTATTAAACATGATAACGCGCGACAAGTACGTCATTCTTTTGCTCTAATACCTAAAGAAAGATCGAGTTATCGAAGGGAGCATGGTATTAAATGATAAAACACAAGGTCACTATCTGTTAAACACTGTTGAGTGACACACAAATTTAACCTCAGTATCGATCATTTTGTGAATGATAGTTGTTGCTGTTTATTTATTGAATATTCTTTATTTTTAGATTCTTTCCAATTCTCAAATGTTCAATCAAACAATTGAATATGTTTATAAAAAGTTATATAAAAGAGCTGAATTAGAAAAGCAAAAACAAAAACAAAAACAACAACAACGTTCAACACCCAAAACACCACGTATTAGTTGTTCAATGAATATGAGTATGAATTCAATGTTTTTGACACCAATACGGAAGATAACGGTGATTACGGTAGCTCAAAAAAATTTAAAAAAATATGAAACATTTTTACGTTCGTTTTATGCGCATAAATAAAATATGAATATTTCTTTATTTTTTTTCTGTTTGTCTGTGCACTTGTTCACATGTAATTAATGTAGAGATAAATTTTGTGTGTTGAATTATTAAGTCTCTAGTATTCGAACAGAGGTAAAGATATATCTATATCTGTGTTCGAATGTTGGAGGCTTATTATATTTTTTCTGGGACTAGAATGTTCTTTTTTTCGTGTAAATAAAATAGTAAAAATCCTTAATAGGAGATGGTTTCAATAAATATATGGTTGATTTTGTCAACGAGGAAAATTTCGTTAGTTATAGTCGTTAGTTCACGTACATCAGACAGTTTGCTCTTAGATTACGATGACGTGATGTCTTTTTGACCCTATTTTTTCCGACTAAACGGCACTAAATTAGGGTTAGGCATCACCAGTATCAAAATGAAAAGAAAGTATCTGACATTTTGTCTCTCTGATCCAGACGTTGGACCATCACTGCTTGATGTTGAGTCTATTATATATGAAATGTGAACATCCGTACGTATGCGGAACATCTGAAATCTTTTCAGTCTCGGTGGAGATTACAAGATAGCAGCGAGATTTCTAGATCAAAAATTTAAAAAGTGAAACATTTGGACCAAAAACTGTAAGTTTAAATACTCAGAGATGGAACGAGAAAGAGGACATTTTCTAAAGTACAATTAGCAGTTTTTTCGAACATATTGTTCTAGCCGTAACACTCTTCGTATAAAAATACACAAAAGCTTCTTGAAGGTACCAAATATCATCAAAGTCGAGCAGGTTAGATAATTTTGGTAACCTTCACTCTAACCTATTCAAGCTAGCATGTAGACTTTTGTTCATTGCATTGTCATGAATAAATTTGAACTTTTTCTTTCATTTCAATATCCGTAATCCATGATCATAGAAGCAGTAAAAAATACCGTCAATTAAACACTTTTAACCGCGCAGTTTCTATCGGTTATTCGCTGTTAACTATTACTTACATTTCGCTAAGCAAGTCGAAACCTTATCATGAACATTTTCTTTTCATTTTTTCTTTTTTGTATACTTCTCTTTTATTTTCTTTGAATCAGAGTCGTCGGTTAACCGCGTTAATATACCTATGATATTTTCGTCTAAGCAATGTTTATCTGTTAGTATCCTATCAAACGTCAAATACAACCTCGCATACCGCCAAACTATCTACGACTAAGGAACTTTCGATTTCTGATACCATAGCCTAATTTATGTGAATGGTTTGAGCAGCTCCTAGTTTTATTTTGTTTAAAAAAAATCGTTGTCACATATATTTGACGTAAAAAACTTAAACATACATATATATACATGAATAGAATAATTAAGTTATTTGAACAGACGAACGGTAAATCTTGTACAGAATGCATTGTTTTATTACGCTGAGATTTGATATTAAATAATAACCTTTGTTCCAATTTCATTTGGAAAAGAATGAATAAATGATAAAGAATCACAGAATAAGATGTGTGCATTCAAAAGAGATGAAAAATGAGAAATGGAAAAGACAAGATGCTTATAACAGCCAGAAAAATAATGAGATCATGAAAGAAAATGATATGACACACACTGCTTTATAAGTGGTAGTAATATAAAATAAAACAATCTAACAGAAATATTGAGAAACATGGCAAGTATAAAACTTTCCACTAATCAGTCGAAATTTTACAAACAGCTTTTATATTTGGTACTAAGGATTTTAACTGTTTTGCTTTGCTTAGCCATACATGATGCAATAATTCATCTGTATCAGAACGTTTTTGTGGATCAACAGTTAAACAACGTTTCAAAAAATTACTCATTTCAGAAGAGATACGTTTTTGTCCATCTTCCGTAATTGTTGGTGGTTCTTCTTGCATCGCTATTTTACACATGGCACGAAATGGTTGTTCATTTATATAAGGAGGAGAACCGTCAATCATTTCAATCATCATTATTCCTAACGACCAGATATCCACTTTGCGATCATATTTTAACCTGTAAAAAGCAGAATAAATGAATGAATTCGCGAACATTAATCTTCAAATTTCATTACTTTTTAATCACTTCCGGCGCCATCCAGTACGGCGTGCCGACCATCGTTTGTCTTAATGATTCAGTATTAGCTAATTGTGCACAAAAACCAAAATCTGTTAACTTTACCGAACCATCAAAACCAACCAGTACATTCTAAAGAAGACTACTGTGAGTTATGGTAGAGATTTCTTCAGACAAAAGTTACTTACATCCGATTTAACATCTCGATGAATGATATTCTTTGAATGTAAGAATCTTAAGGCTTCTAAGCACTCTTTCGTAATGGCAGCCATTTGTCCTTCATCCAAAATGGTTTGTTCAACAATTTGTGTCAATTGGCCACCCTGCATATATTCCATCACGATCCATAACTCATTTGGACGTAGATAGCAGTCAAGAAAGTTTACAATAGAACGAAATCGGTATTGACTCATAACATTAATTTCACTAACAATCAATTCTTTACGCGGTTGTTTTGACCATAGCATACGTTTAATGGCAATTTTCGTATTTGTTTTTGTATCTAGAGCTAAATCAACATCACCGGCAGCACTATAAATAAACATATGTGATTCAAACGATGTTATAAATACTAAAAAAATACTGACCCCGATCCAAGTTTACATATAATCATATAACGTGTACTTGGATCATCTTTGGCCGCAACAGGTTCTAGAAAAACAACATGTTGAAGAACGTTGAAGCAGCAGTATTACTCAAAGTATGTCTACCAACCTAATGCTTTTACGGCTTCTTCTTCAGTCATTCTTCTTTTCGTAGACTTCGATTTATGTCGTTGTACGAGCGGTGTATCATGATCGTTATTATTATGATTATGATTATCATCATTATTAGTTTTTTCTATATTTTCTTTATTGACAACAGGAAATAGTTGATGTTGTGGTGATTGTAATTGTACTGGCGATGGCGTTGTATTTTTCTTATATTTGTTTGTCAATGCAGATGTTTTTGGTGGTAGTTCTGGCGGTGAACGTGCTATTTTATGATTCATTTTTGTATCCATTATAAGAACATTTCCACTATCCAAATCTCGTGGTGGAATTGGAGGTGGTTCAACAACTCCGCCTTGTTTCACGTCACCATTTGTATTTGTGAGTGATAATGATTTTGAATTAAGGTCTTTCATTAGTGTGTCATGATTTATGAGATAAACAAGATTATTTACAGTTGACTGTTGAGAAGTCGGCGTAGTCAGACCCGAATTACTTGGCGATGTGGAGTTCGAATTTAAATGATGATTTATTGATGGTTCCGGTAATGAATCTTCAGAAATCTGAAACAACAATCAAATCTTGAACTAACTGTCTATATATACAATGCATTCGTGGTCAAGTACTTCATCTAAACTTTTCTTTCGAACGGATTGAAGTTGTTTAAGTTCTTGTAAATATTTTGGCTTTGTCTCAATGGTCTAGAATAATCAGGTCATATCAGTATGAATTATCAAAGGAGCTATAAATGAATCAAAATTACCATCGAATTGTTGTAGGTTCCTCCCGTTCTTTGTAGCGAATAAGCTAAAATTAAAAATAGAAACATGATATTTTTTTCATTCCCAAATGAACTTATAAATATACAATTATTGTCGACTGGACCATTCGTTTTGTTGTTACTATCTAATCGTTCTTGAGATGGCATATCGCTTTCTGATTCACTAAAACGTAAATATCACGTTTTAAAAATAATCAAAAGTTTATCTTACTCCAACGCCTCACCTCAATTCGTCACCTGACTCATATGATACACCATCGGCTTGTTCAAATGCATCTTGTATTTTCATATGTTTTGGATGATCTAAAAGGATAAAATTAACTATTTCCTCTCAATCATTTTCAAACATTACAAAACCACATACGAGCTTCGCGAATTGTCTTTTGGATGACTTTCAATGCACAGGTCATTACACGTGTGGTATCTTCTGGTTCAGATTGTCTACAGTAGAAAAAAATAATAAAAAGTAGAGCAAGAGTGGGAGGAAGAGAGAGAGGGCGAGAGAGATCGGACCAGCGTTTTCTTACCCGAACAATCCTTGAACTTGTTTCTCCCACTCGTAGGGCAAGCCCTGAAATGTTCCTGTCGTTTTGTCATATGTAACATGAATATTCTTTTTAACAGCATGAGGCGTCGATATTTCATTTATTCGCTGTTGTTCTTGTTTTTTCGGAAAAATACTCCGAAATATGTTGAAATTCATTTTAACACCGCTAAACAACAAACAAGTAACTCGTTTAAGTCTTCAATAATCAAATGGACACTGATCTTACAAGTATATTTCTCTTCTTCTCTGTCTGCATTTTGAACATTCGTATCGTTTCGAAAAGTAAGTGTATATGTACACTATACAAACATCGTATTTCAGGTTTTATTCCTCATTAAAGTCTGTTATGTGAACGTCTCACGTGTGACTAAATAGGCAAAGAAATATGGCATTTTTTTTTCTCCTTCTTCTTCGTTTTTATGCAGTTAGAGAAAGAACATGAGAAAAATATTAGTAGATTTTAATTTTATTTTTTTTAGTTTCGTTTCTGTCATAGATATAGTATAGCTACTATATATGCGAATATAAACCGAAAAAAAGAGATGGAGAAAGAGAGAGAGATACGAGTCAAGGATGTTAATAGGACAAAAAAATTCGTCCTGATCATCTCTTGTTCTCTGATTAATACCCCTGATACAAATGACGACTTCAATCAAAAAATCTTATGACTCATTATTTATTCTAAATATAAATCAAAAAACGTGGGAGAAATTAGTCAAACAAATTCGACAATAAACTAATCAAATAGTTTGTTTTTTTGAATTGAAAGAAACTGAAAATGTAGCACAAGAAAAAGAACATTGTTTTACATAGAGTGTCAATGAAAGAACAAATGATAGACCACAGATCAACGGAAGATGGAGAAACTTTTTAGTCGTTATGAAGGATGAGAAAACATGTGAAGTTAACTCTATGAGCGAGTAAAAATGTGTATTCCAAATTGATATACTCTCAATATACCTCATGAAATTTTAGGAATCTCTGCAAGGTATTCCTTTTATATTAACATTTTTTGATTTTTTTACATTTTTTTAAATAAAACTAAGTTGAACTAATAATTGAAAATCACTTTACTAAAACATTTTTCAATTATACTAAATATACTTGTTAGTACTTTTTTTGCCCATAAAAGGATTATTAGAGTAATTTTATAACGCTGAGATCGATTTATTCTAGCTTTAGAATTAAATAGCAGACTGGAGAAGAACACTCGAAATAAATATATATGAAAGTTGACTTAATGTATAGTATTTTTGAACTCATTTCAAAACACGGAGGATAGATCTTGTTAGAATGATGTTATTATGACGTGTAAATCTTTTTTCTTCGAAACAAAATATTGTTTTTCAATACATTACTACTTGATTAGGATGTTTCATCGAAAATAATAATTGGAAACACATGCTAGACGTCCTTGGTAATGCATTTTATTCTACTTTTTTTTATTGATTTATGGTAAAGGTAGTTAAACAAAAACCCACCTTTTAAACTGTTTTCTTATCTCATCACGATTATTATTATTATTATTATTATTCATATTTGTATTGTTTACCAATTTATCGTTTCTTACAAGATGAACATAATTATGATATCTACCTTTCGGTTTTAAATAATGATTATGGTCCACTTCACACATTAATAAAATAATCTTTTTGTTTAAAAGTAACAAAGAATTGTATCCATTGAAACTTATACATCTGACTGCTACCTTGACCAAATATACGTACGATGATTAGAAGAAGAAAAAAAAAAAAATTAAATGCTTTCTTCTTTTTGAACCTATTAGCTTGCTCAGTATAAAAAAGAAAAAGAAAAAAGAAATAATCTCGAAAAGATCAAGACTATGTAACTAATACGCTATCATGGTCAATCGTCTGATGTGTAAAAAATAAACGTTGACAAATATTAAAGAAGAAACGAAAAAGAAACTACCATGAATGTTGTACACATGAAGTTTTGAGAAGCCCCCCTCCCAAAAAAAAAGAAAAAAAAAGAATAATAATAACCAACATGTAATCTTAAGATGAGGAAATTTAAACTATCCTTGTTACATTATTTTATTTTTTTTTCTTTCATCAAACATACATGAAATAAAAGGTGGAGAATTTTAGGTAATAATAATTGAACAGGAAAAAGCCCCGAAATAATATAAACATTTACTAAATTATTTCAATCATTTATGATTGTTTGAACGCGGTTGAACATGTTTTTTGTTCATATCTCATAATAGAAAGAGAAAAAAACTTCTTATTTCACTCACTTGTTTTAACTACTGAAGAAAAATAAAATCATTTCTTTGTTTTATACAATAGCACACCAAAAGAGTTAAATTTTTGAATATTGTTGGATAATAAAACATTAATAAAATACTGAAATAAAAATAATATTAGACAAAACATCATATCACCTGAAAATAGCGAGAAGTTGCATTAAGAATATCAAGGTTCATGCAAAAAAGCAGTTATAATCATTTCAAGGATCTTTCTTTCTTAATCATGTAAGAAACAAAAAAGGAGAAGCGATTTTTTTTGCATTGGAAAACAAGCATCCATTACTTCTCTAGAAGATTAAAATGTTTATGGAAAAGTTCTCATTTTTCGAATGAGAATGCAAACTACTCGTTTTCCCAAAAATATATTTTGTAGGGAAAAGTTTTTCAAGAGAACTAATTGTTCTTAAGCCGTGTTTGATACGAGCACTAATATGTAACAGTAGCTTATGTGCTAAGTAATGAGAAGCAAAGCAAAATGAAGTATAAGGTTCTACACTAAAAAAAAATGCTTACTGCCAAGTAACTGATGCAAACACAACAAAGACAAGCGAAATATTTCTCTTTAAAAACTTGTTGTTCAACTATTTTATTTTCAAGTTATGAGCAGAAACGCAGTTGTACACAATTTTTAAAATCTGTTGAAGTAACCATTTTTTGTTCATTTTTTTTATTTCAATTTTACTATCAACTTTACAAATAAAAACAAAAAATGAAACACTCTCAGACACAAAAATAGTTGTACTTCAAACACGAAAACTCATTTTTTTCTCAAATGTTTCTGTTAACACAAGTTCATTCTGAAAATGAACTAGTTTGTCCCTGCAAAATCACGCACGCGCACAAACACATACACAGAGCCGAAGGAGTATGAATAATTTGGGATAAACATCAATGCAAGAATAGCTCATAAACAGAATACTAGATAACCACAAAGAAGATTTTCAACATATGAAAAAACCAAACTTTGTTGCATGCTGTCAGAAAAAATAACACATCAATCCCGACTTTGAGTTGATATCGAATCCAAAAAACTATTTCTGCTGGTAAGTCATTAACAGTCTGTCGTCAAAACAGAAAAATGCTGCGGACAGTTTATCATAAAACATCAACGTATAAAGCAGAGAGAGATTCAGCTTTTATGATCAATATACAACGAAAATACAGCTGAATTTGTCTTTTTGATTTTGCAATTGCTGTTTAAAATCGATTTCTTCGATCACGATGTTTTCGATCTTGCTCAACTTGTTGTGGATAATGTGAAGCTTTTCTTTTTTGATGTAGACGATTATTATCATTATTGTTATTTGGTGATGGTGAATCTGGTATGTCTGTTAAATCAATCGTATCTGATCGATGAATTTCAGATGGTGTTGGAGTTGGTAATGTTTGCTTACGTTGTTGGTTTTTACGATTACGAGAAGTAGATGGGACATCTGCAATTGCAAGTAATGGTGGTGGTTGTCGATGATTAATCATAGCCATATTCGATTGCCTTGACCTACCAGAACGTTGTTTCCACTCATTTTTAAAGTCTTCAGTTTCTTCTTCGTCTAAATTTTCTAATTCAACATTTTCTGATATTTGACCCGTTTCGGCATTTAATTCACGTTCAATAACATGTTTTCTATCGCCAATTCGTCGTCCAACTTGCATTTTATTAATTCCTCTTTGTGAATCTCTAACGGCCTGACGTGTTTCTTCAATCCCACCTGGTCCTCGACTTCTCGATGTTGATTCTTGATATACCTTAAAAAATTCAAACAATACAAGTAGAGAAAGAAAAAATTGAGAGAAAAAGATAATCGAACGTACTTTTGGTCTCCCATCGGGACCCGTACCGTAACTCATAACAGTTGTGGATGTAAATGAATGAACTGAAGCATCATCGTCATTTGATGTCGGATGAAATACACTTGTATTATCCATTATAGAGCGCATGTTACCCATCATTGCATCCATTAGTGAAAATGGACTAGATGTAAATTCATTTAATGGATCAACACCAAATGGATTATGAGAGATAAATGGCTGAAGGGCTAATGACGGAGACGGAAATATTGGATTCATTGGATTATTGGTATTACCGAAGCGATTTCGACCAAATATATCGGGAAAAAACATTTTTTGATAGTATTTAATTGGTCAAAACTAAAATTACAAACTCATTTAAAGCTATTCATACGTTTTATCTAAAACAAATAAAGATGAACAAATCCGAGTGGAAAGATGCAACAAAAACATCTACTAATCGAACTAAAATACTCAAGTAGACATCCATTATTAGTTATCTATCAAAGAGAAAAGGAACTAATAAAAAAAAATTTCGATGGTAACACTATGGACAGTGACAACTGTACAATTCTGATTTCAAAGTTTAGAATATTTTCATACTATGATTCAATGTATCAATCATTTATCAAACAAGAACATTAATTCTGAAGAAATGTTTCTTTTTCTTTTTTTATTTTATGAAATACAACAATACCTATACAAATAAAATACAAAATTTTAGTCAGCGTTTTTAAACTGTTCAACAACAACAAAAAATATAATATCTACCAGAAATAAAAAAAAAAGAATCAATGAAAAACAAAAAAACCATATAAAAATAACAATAAGTTTTTGATCACGTTTGAAGTTAGCAAAACCTAATAATTCAGGTGCACACATGCGCAGAAATGTGGTCAATTTTGATTCAATATAGCAAAGCGTGAAAAACACCGCAAAACAAAAAAAAATGCTTCAAAAAAAGAGAACAACAAGTTTGAGACTACTCTTGAACACAATATACCTCGCCCCTCTTGCTTAATTGGAAGAAAAAAAGAAAACAACGTGTTATTAATACTACTACGTACTACTTGTGTTGTTTTATTTACATCGATTGTGCAAAAACAACAACAACAATCGATATGACTAGTTCTTTATATCACAATATAAATATAGAAAGAATATCTGAATTCATAAACGTAAAATATATTGTTCATCATTAATAAGTACATCTTGTTTGATTATACTTTCTAGAATAAAATCAATACGATAAACATTAATTGTTAAACCATTTTTTAATTCTTTTAACAATATTTTATCTTCATCACATGATATGATTATTATATGGAGTACGTGTGTTTTTGGATCAGAAGTAATAAGTTGTTTTAATGTAGGAAACTCACGTGTGATATTAGCACCTGTTGAATAAATAATAGATTTTAAAATGGATATTGATGGTTGAACACTTGGTGTAAGAAAAAATGTATAACCAGAAAACAAGAGTTTACTATTTCGTGATAAACGTTTTTCGATGGCTAGTCGTAAAATTGTATTTGGTTTATAATCATCGTAAAGTAAGTAATCATCATCCGATGGTGGAATAAAATGTTTTTCTTGATCACATTTATCTAACCAATTTGTATTGAGAATGTACGTAACGTAATTTAAACATTCATATAATTTTTCTGTACGTAAACATTTTTTCATTACTAAATGGGTGGTATAATGAGGTAACGACGATATTTGACCACCTAAATTTTTCACAACTTCTTCATAATGGGCAAGTGATTGTTTATTAAAACCACTTAACATCACGAAGACGTCTGTTAATGCTGCTGTTGTTGACGCTGTTTTACCATTTAGTATAAATGGTTCATTATACGTGCGACGTATTTTTTTCGGTGTCGATTCTGTATCACCATTTATATTTTCCGTTGTAGTGATAGTAGTAGTAGTAGTAGTTGAATCCTGTTGTTGTTTTTCGTTATGTTTTTTTATCGCGATATTTAACAGATGGTCATTGATATGCAGTGGTTTTAACCATGCCGTTAACAAATCACGAACATATATAGAATCAAATGAAAAATGATCAATTCCACTTGGTAGACGTGTATAACGTTCATCAATAGGCGTTTTTAATGCACATGTGTTTCCTAGATACAATTCTGATAACCATACACCATTCACAATTGATATTGACCATTCCAATGCTTTTTTATATTTGTCACCATTATTTTCTTCTTTACATATCAAATGTGAATGCCATCTACCGAGAAAACCCGTATATTTTCCTCCCAATGAGCGAATTAAAAACCGTAGACGAGCACGTTCAATGCCTAGAACAGAAAAAATACTCGTAGATCAGACTGATAGATTATTAACTTGACTTACCTTCGAAACCCGACAATGTTATCAAATATTTTGTTAATGGTAATTGATTAATATCACTCATATCGAATGGCGCTGGAAAATGAATAGCTAAATTCGGTACAAATAATTTTTTTCGTTGTAAAACATCATTTAACCAATGTGCTAAAAAATATAAACAATGTGAAAACTTGAAAAAAAAAATTCTCTCTCATTTATATTACCTGTCACCATTCGTACATTTCCACGTTTGTAAACAGTACGAAATAATTCACTCGTTCGATAAGCACAAATAAAATGTGTTAAGTTTGTATTATTTCCATCATCAGTAATTATTCCACCATTATCACATATTGTTTGGGACCATGATAATAAATCATTTGTTGACACAGTTGGAATATATTCTTTTCCATAGATAAAAATAACACAACCAAGTAAACATTGACTCATAGGAATTTGTTCATGTTTATCTTGTGTGAAATATTTCAATTCGGACAATGTTTTTGGTGGTGGTTTGGGCATTTCAATCAACATTGGACGAATCATTTGTTCTTCAAGTTCGGCTGAAATCGCAAATTTGGTTCGATTTACTGACGAAGATGTTTTTCTTGGACCACGTTGTCGAGGTCCTGTCGTTTTTGTTCGAGATCGTTTTGGACCTTCTACTTCGTCATTGACTTCTTGATCTTGCTCATTTTGATCAGTCTAAACAAAAACAACATTGTTCACAAAAATTATAATTATATTGTTGTATCATGATCTTTGTTACCTCTGGCATATCACCTAATAAATTATTAACATTATCTTCATTAATGTCTAATTGATTAAAAAAATTTTTGGTGGATAGTTGTGTGCGATGATGGGGTATCGATTTGGCTGCTAAAGAAGTGTCGCTAAATGAATCGTTTTGAGATGGTATCACATCTGTTTTTAGTGACGTATCCGATACATCTTCTTCATAAGAATTATTCAATAAATCGGGATGATATCTGAGCTCATCGAGTCGTTCATTCACTTTTAAGCAATCGAGAACCCAATCTGGTGTTATAAGCAAGACGGAATTTGCATCTAGTTGATAGGCATCATACAAACGTTTATTTGCGTTATTGTTGTTATCGTCGTTCGATAACTTAGACGAACAAAGAATATGTGTACATTTTAGTTGTTCAATTTCACTTGTCCATTTTCCACCATGAAATGTAACTAGTGCCCATAATTTATCATTATCCATTTGATTTAAATTGGCATTTGCAAAAGTGAAACCTTGGAATAATAATTTTCCATCGGCACAATATGGTTCTAATGGTAGTAATGAATTATACTTTAAACAACTAATGATCCAATCAGGTTTTACGATTGGTATATAGTAAATATCTTTAGCTGTATCACATTCGTCTCTATTTGATTCATAATCATCACATAGAACATGTGTAACACTTTGTATCAGATATGATGAACGAATAGCTCCTTCACGTTTTAATAAAGATTCAATATTGGAATCAATCGAACCGCTGACATAATAGCGGACGCTTGAAAATAATTTTGAATAGACTGGTGTCGTTGCCATTCTTTGAGATTCACATTGAGAAATAGTCGATAGATAACATGATGTCTGAATTAAGACACTATATTCTGAAAATAAAAATTAAGTTAAGCAAACTGAGATAAGAGATGATTTCGGCTCAAAACGACAAATTTGCAACAGTAAGCAGACAGACATGATGAAAGAACACCTTGATCACAGTAATACGTCATTATGAACAGATAGTTATGAATGTTTGTAAAAAGAAACCAATGAGAGATGCCAAATTTAATCATAATAATAGAAGTCAAACTCATACAAACAGTTAATCAACAAGATACGAAACAGAGTGATTGGTCTGAGCCTCATTAGGGTTTACGCACTCAAATGTGCTGTAAAGTACAGGTTAATTGCTTTGTTATTCTAGACATTTTGGAAATTGCTTTTCTAGAAATGTGAAAAATAGAAGTACGCGCTCACCGGTCTTGTTTCATCCTCCAACAGCTTGGGCATGCCTTTTTTATTTGATTTGTCTACTGGATCGCGAACACGAGTACTTAGCAACTATTATCAGTTAATACAAACGACAGAGAATAAAAGCCTATGAACAATAAAATATAACTGAAATATGGACATACCTGCTGCAAACTGACTGTCCTCTCTTTTCAAGCCATCCTTAGACAAGAGGATGGCAAATGGGGTCAAAATCTTACGTTGGCTGCGCAAAGAAATTTGATTAACACATACTGGAAACCATGTCCAGTAGAACTTGTGCTTATTAAATGAGCAGAAATAACGAGACTTAATTACTACTATAGAAGTCTGGTTTCTTCTTTGTTCCACTTAATGCACTATGGTTTGAAAATATAGTGCACTACCCCAGATTCTTTTTTAGAAACAGACCTACATCCGAAATGTCTTTCGTTCGTTTTTCTCGATAAAATCTTTCATGGTTTCATACCTGTGAAGAGAAGTCGTCTTTTACTTCGAGAATTCAGGAAAATCGTCAAACATCAATCCTAAAATCTCGTTTCAATTTGTTCCACAGCGAAATGATTACCGAAGTTGATCGTAGCCCTAGAGAATGGTCGCGTGCCCAAGTGCTTAAGACAAGCTTGTGTAATAAAGTTGGTATTTGTGTTTTTTTCAGAAGTAAATTTACTTGTAAGTACTTGGCTGACTCAATGCAAGAAAACTTACTTGAAAAACTTCAGCAAAGTGCTTGTCCCATTTATCTTTATTCTGTATATATTCTGAAGCCATACTCTACTTTTGCAGAGCAGTCGCATGCATGGCTGCCAAGTTTGTTCCATTTAGTGCAAATATCTAAATTTATTTGCTAAATTTATACTGCTTAATATTGTGACGTTTATATACAATTTGTCAATGCAAAAAAAAGAGGGATTGACTCGTCGATGTACTTGGCTTAAGCAAATCAAGTGACGATGCTTGATGAGTAGTTAGACAAGAACTGGGGAAGTAAAACCACTTGCCAGGTTCTTGTTCAAGTACTTACTAAGTGAGGAAACGAGCCAAGTGCTTGACAAGTAATCAAATAAGTCTCTAAGGAGGCAAGAGCTGATTAAGATAATAATTACGCTGCTGTTTAACGCATATTATCAAAGAAAAAACAAGGAAGTGTCAGCCTGCATTCAAGTTGATTTTAATCTGACAGGAACTACATCTAGATTTGAATAATTTTACTTTTTGCCTTCCGATAAAAAGGAAAAATTACGTATGAATATTTTTTTCTACTTCTTCTTGCGTCCTTCTGAAAAAAACAACCATCTCAGTATCACTCCAACCCTTAAAATAAACTTACATAAGCCTTATTTTAATGAGAAAAGGTAAAATCGTTTCTTAATTTAACTCCGTAATTTTCTTGAATTGTACCACTGAGTCTTACTAATCATACGATGCAACATAAGCGACACGTACTCATTGGTCAATGAATTCAGTAGATGACTCATGTTGTCATCCTTGATTCCCCTTAAAAATCCCTTTATGGATGAAAAATCCCTTTATGGATGATTGTAAAAAGAAAAAGCGCGGACATCCTGACAACAATTGAGCACTTTATAAATAACTATACAGATTCATTGAAAAGGAACAATATTTCCGACTAGAACATCTTTTTACAAGCGGAAACCTTTTTAGAGATTTTTTCAAAAGCGGCTTTTTCAAGGGATTTCTGGAAAACTCGTGTATAATGCAAAAATACCAGACTATTGAATTTTTTAGATCAGTAGATAGAAGAAAGTGTTTTCTTCAAAATGGGATCTAAGCAACCTCTTAATCTTTTGTGGTTTAGGTCTGGCATCGGATTTGCTACGAGTCTCAGGATCGATAAAAGGTCAATAGAACTTTTAAAAACCAATATAAAGTCCTTGGATTTTTTAAACCCAATAAGCAAAAATGGATTATTTCATCTAATAGAACGTTTCACTAGGTTTGTGCAACTTTCTCGAAAAACAACTGTTGCCGCGAGACTCCGTGTAGCGGATAACCTACGTTTTCATTCATTCATTTACCGCAGCTAAGGAAATATCGAGTCTGAGACTCGCAGTAAATCCGATGCCAGACCTAAACCACAAAAGATTAAGAGATCGCTTAGATCCCATTTTGAAGAGAACGCTTTCTTCTATCAACTGATGTAAAAAAATTCAATAATTTGGTATTTTAAATTTTTGCATTATACACGAGTTTTCCAGAAATCCCTTGAAAAAGCCGCTTTTGAAAAAATCTCTAAAAAGATTTCCGCTTGTAAAAAAATGCTTCATAATCTCCTCTTTCCATAGCAGAAAAACCAACTCTCTAGCTATCGTCATTTAAAAGTTATTCAAAAAATAGCAATGGATTATTCTTTGTTTTCAATGGACAATAGTATTACTCACACCAACTAACAACACACTTTACTTTATATTCTTTTTGTTACCTAGTAAAATAATCAACAGTAGATTCTAATATACTACGAATGACCTGAACAGAAACTCACCTAGCAGTGAATACAATATATTCACTATATAATATATACAAAATATTGTTTCCTAAGACTGTCTGAGCGTTACAACTAAGAATGACAAGAGTATGTTGTTGAATAGGATTAGACTGTTTAAAACAGATACCGTAGCATAACATCCATCTATCTAAACTTTCCTCGGAACAGCTTATCTACACGAGTCTTAATTCAGTATCATATTCACTATCTGTAGATAAGTTAGCAAATGTTTAATATACAGGAATAAAATCTACTACTGCTTAGTTTAGTAAATCTACTACTGTAGTGCACTGAAGTATTTCATCTACATCGTGAAAAACTGATGAGAACAAGAGCAAGAAATGATTATTATGTTTGGGATGTGTGTGACAACAAAAGACGCCTTATTTCGATATTTCCTTGATTTACTTGTGTGATTGCATAGTGTATACTTCCCAAATTTCAAACAAATATGACGAGAATACGTAAGTATACTAGTTCAGGATATTTTCTGATCAACATCTAATTCTAAAAATTTATGTATCCTGATGAAAAGTTATTGTTTACTTATAACAAAAATATTGAAAAATCATGTTTAGAAAAATCATAGTTTTTTTTCTATGCTGAAGAGAATAAAACAAAATTGGAACAAAACAATCATGTTCTCTTTTTATTACATAATTATCACTAAAACAGATTGTTAAATAGAGTAAAAATATTTTTGTCACATGTTCACAGTTCCAAGGATCAATGTTTGTGAGGGAGATAATTAATTTGTGTGCAAAAGAATCTTCTGTTCTGAATCGGAGAAAAGAAAAACGAGAGTCATATGATGATAAGGTTTGACAGAATGACAGAGTTTCTTTTTTTTTCTTTTCTATGTCTACATAAAATACACAACTTGAGCGACAAAAGAAGGTTAAACCCTGAGGAATCAAGGTCACAATCTTTTTCTTTTATCTCTAGTTCGAAAAAAAGAAAAAATCAGGTCACTAAGTCACATTATATTTGAGTATTGAGGGTATATAGCTACACAAATATATGCAGAAAAATGAATTAAATACTTCATTGTGCACCGACGATATCTCTGTTTTTGAAATAAATACGCGAAGATGAAAAACAAAAAAGATATTAAAAAGCAGTTCAACGCAGTTACATTTAACTTTCATTTTCACATGATTCTCTGAAGACTTCTAAATTACTTTTAATCTTAAGTCATTTTGTTCTTGGCTTGTTTTCTAGGCTTATATAAGTCAGACAAAAATTAACATGCGTCTGGTAATTGTGGATGATTACTCTAAAATGGCCGAATGGGCCGCTCGCTACATCAAAAAACGTATAAACGCTTTCAATCCTGGTCCAGATCATTTTTTCACTCTTGGTCTACCTACTGGCTCTACACCATTGGGCGTGTATAAAAAATTGATTGAATTCGTCAATGCCAAAGAATTATCTTTCAAATATGTTATAACATTCAATATGGATGAATATGTTGGTCTACCTCGAGTAAGACTCTTTTTTTCGTAATTTTGTTTATTCTGATGTTCTTGTTTTTGATCTAGGATCATTCAGAAAGTTATCATTCGTTTATGTGGAATAATTTCTTTAAACATATTGACATTGGTATACATAGATATTTTTATTTTTGTTTTTCAAAACAAAGCATCTGTTTATCAAGCAATTATGAGACAATATTTGATTAAAATATCTCTTTTTTAGACCCTAAAAATGCTCACATTCTGAATGGAAATGCCGATGATTTAGGTCGTGAATGTGATGATTTTGAACACAAAATCAAAGAAGCAGGTGGCGTTGAATTGTTCATTGGTGGTACGTATAATTGTATTTCTATTAGGATGTCTTGATATAATACATTTCGTTGTTTAATTTAGGCATTGGACCAGACGGACACATTGCATTCAATGAACCCGGTTCCAGTTTAGTTTCACGAACAAGAGTAAAAACACTCGCTCAAGACACAATCAACGCAAATGCTCGCTTTTTCAAGAATGATGTAACGAAAGTACCGACCTGTGCATTGACGGTGGGAGTTGGCACTGTGATGGATGCAAGAGAAGTAATTCAAAGTAAAAATAACCATGAAAATCAAGTATATAAAGTCTTTTTAACTATAGGTAATGATATTGATATCCGGAGCGTCGAAAGCTTTAGCTCTGCATATGGCTATTGAAGAAGGCATTAATCATATGTGGACCGTATCAGCATTTCAGAATCATCCAAAATTTTTGTGTGTATGTGATGAAGATGCTACAATGGAATTAAAAGTAAAAACAGTCAAATATTTTAAAGGTCTGATGCATGTACATAACGAATTAATAAAAGATAATGGACCAACTCTTCATCGAACAAAGGATCGTTCATCTGTTTTACATACAGAAAATTAAAAATATTTTCAGTTGTCAAATAAAACTAGATATTTTATTCATCACACTCAGAAGATTTGTTAACTAGTTATGTCGAATAATTTGCAGATGATATCCATTGACCAGATACTACTTTAACTAAGTTAAGAAACGTTCAACTATCAAGCAACTGATGTGTAATTTAAATTTTATTTTTTATTAAAAATAATCTTTGCAATTGTAATTGAATTTTATTTTATTCTATTTTCCTATTTTTTTGATATTTTTGCAATATATATGGGATCATTAGGAATTAGTTGTTTATTTTGCATGTATTCCATATGATTTTTTAAATTGTAATATTATCATTTATTTAAAGAAAAAATACAGTGATATGTACATCTATCTTTTATACCAGCCTAGAGTGACGTTCTTTTCAAGTTCAATCAATAGTGATCATTTTCCATATCACTAGAACTAAGCGCCTTCGTATGAGACATTGCCTACCGAAAAACATATCTCAAATGGACTTTAATCGATGATTTTTCGTTTCCAGGCAAATATACCAGAAAATATTGCGTTAATAAATCGCACTATTAATAACAATCTCGAGTACATCACACAGTTGCAAACATCTGCTGTCAACAAAACAAAGTATTATCTTAGTCGATTTGTTTAATTCAACTGAAAATTGTTTATAGTCTTCACGCCTTGCGGCTGAACACTTGCACGAATGATGAAGATCATACATTAATTTACTAATATTCCACTCGGTTGATTTTACTCCTTTAAAAGTATCATGAAGATTACATTACATTACACTATGAAGATTAGATTACATTACATTATTATGAAGATTACACGTTCCTATTGAAATCATTTGACTTAACTCTTTCGATTTTAATTAACTAACTTAACTCTTTCATTTATTAATTTAACTAGCGATAAGCTTATGTCTGGCTCAACAATACTAAATGCTAATAATTTTGCCAATTCGATACGATTTAGCTGTAGGGTGTTAATAATTGCATCTTTCAAATGTTCAGCATTGCATGACTCAAAAGTTTACTAATATATACAAAAGAAAGGCTCCTGTAAGCAGTACATTTCTACGAAATCTTTTACGTCGGATAAACTGTTAGCAGCATATTCTATCTCTTTTTGGAAAAAAATCTTGTTTTCTTTGACTAGACAGAACTAAAGCTCGTTATTTTGATTTGAGTAGATGCTGCTCCTTTTAATTCGAAATTTGTTCATACCTCTCGAAATATATAACAACACTTTGACCTTTCGGAACTGAATCAGTATATCAAATTTTTTTTTTATTTGAACTGTTGTTGTTTCATAGATAACTAAAGTGAAATGAGATTTGATTGTTTAAGATTGTCTAACATTAGATCATGAAATAAAGGCCGAGGCCCTATAATTTATGACCATTCATCGTGAACTGCTGAACCATTCGACTGTCTGGAAGAGTTTTTTCAATAATTCACGGGCACTATCAACTGAAGAGTAACTTAAGCCCTTTCGAGCTGCATTCATGGCCCATAATGCTTCCGAAGCCAACACTTGATCTTCGAATGACAGTGGTTTTTCTTTGTCATCATTAGTTAGTTTAGCTGTTGCATATTGTTCGTCCGTTGTTCTAACACTAGTGAACCTTCGTTCATCGGGTACATGACGAGCCCAAACTTCAGTTTATGTGTTGATTCATCAAAATGTTTCTTTATATCATCTCATCGTCGTGAACATAATTTCAGTTCCAGTGGGGTGCACAAACGGTACAAATATATGTTGCTGTTGATTGACCACGCTTAAGCCGCCTACTACATTTTAAACCCAATGAATTTGTTCTTTCCAATTATGAATCAACAATTCGTCTCGCGCAGAGGCATAGCAAACAGGTTTAATATTTATTAATTTGAACTTTTTAGTAATAAATTGTTAGGAATAATTATTAGGAGTTAAATAATTGTTAGAAGAAGATGAAATCGACTCTCTATCAGTTTATAGAAACAGAGTGATGAAAGGAAGAGAATGCACACATGCACAAACAGAACAGAAGGGATACACGTGTGTATGTTTAAATACTTGTCTTGACTACGCCAGTAGCCAACTTTTTTCTCTATTGTACGGCTTCCATATCAAAGCAAAGATCACAGTCACTAAGAGGGTAAGATTGGCAATTTTTCACACACGCAACTTTAAAGTAGATATGAAGGGTGAAGATCGAACTTCGCTATATTCTGTCATCTCAAAAGGTTTTGCACAATCCCGAAAACTTTTTATACTGTTCCGAAAATCCCGAAAAAGAATCCTCGACTTTCAATCTCATCCCTGATGTTTGAACATCGGCACCTTCAACTCGTGTAATAACCTAGGGCAAGTTACTTATGCCTCATATTATCTGTTCAACAGCATGCTCACTACATTGTGATATACAATACACTTTCTCCGGTTAATCTTTGTGAACTTCTTGAATGTTAGTACATGGTTAGTGAGTATGAAGGCTCATACAATTAGATCAACGGAACTCTACGTCCAGTTAGTCTTCTAGTCAGAGCTACAGTTGATGACTAATAATGAGGCGGGTGACGGAAGGAGCTTGTCAGCTGTGGTGAAGATATCGCGCTATTGAAACTGGACTAGAATCATCGATAATCTGAGCTTCAATCTACGATTTGATAATCTGTTACTGTTCTAAGAACAGAATTAAGTATTTTTGCGAAAACAAGTGTTATTGACTGATACAAAATACATTTTTATAATCACCAACAAAAAAACTAATGTTACTTGTATAAACACATTAATTCAATGATTTATTTATAAAAGCAATTAACTTGTGAATGTCACTATGCATGTATGTAGTACGAATTGTAATCGCTATTTAAATTATCTCCTATCCTATTGTATTGTATAGTACTGGTGAAATATCATCAAGTAAAAATTAAACTAAATTTGTTTATGAATTTATCTTTTTGTATTCAAGAACAGTTTATAATATGCAAAACAGACCCACGTCAGAACAGCTAGTGAGTATATTGAGTTTTCTCAGTGGTAAAGAAATGTGTAAAAAACATTATTTGGGACATGATGTTTAGTCACTCTTTAATCCGACATCAATGATACGGCAAAAAGTTTGATTTTATCTTGTTTCACGACTTTCGGCAACAATATCAAATCAATTTTTTCCCAAAAGGACGGAGGCAGATAAGGTCATTCGGCATCCCGCGATATTTCTGAAAAAGAATTATATATTCGGAATCAGCATGAAATTCTGAATAAAATGACGTATTTGATTCACTCAAGAATTGACTTTCGACTTTTTCGAAAATTTTTTTGCCCTACGACCCCCTTGGAATACCGAAAAAGTTTTTTGTCAGAATTTTTTGAAACACACATTGTCTTGCAGAATTTAATGCTGATTACAAATATAAGGTGAAATATTTGGAAAAAAGTCTTGACCTAGAAAATTGCGTTTCACTTACAGACGGTGGTCGTGACTTAATTGAATTAATGTTATACTAGCACTCTAGTACATGATTTGGAAACCTCATGAACCAGCTAAATATAATTCGGAACATGTGGAATTTCAGAATATGTTGTTTATAAAGTTCAAAAGGCTGATTTTTATTCTGAAAATCGCATTCCAAGTCGAAGAAGCTTGAAATTCCTTGTATATTACATTTCGTAATTTTTCTGCCACGGCCGAACGAAAACGGATGCCAATGCGAAACTTAGAATATACAGTTTTGAATGCTCTGGCGCATGAGACCACTTTGAACGAAAACAAAACTACGCTTCTTTCAAAAATCTGTTTTTTGAGCAAAAGGTTTTCTGGAAAATCTTTGAAATTATTTTAAATGAGCAGTTCGATAGGGCATCAAATTCTGAGCAAAATGGTGTGTCACTCAGGCTTTCACAATGCACATAAATCGAGAAATCAAAACTCGAAAAATGAGAATTTTCTGCTAGACTTTTACTTCAGTAGAATCTCGAACACTGCAGTTCCTTTACCAAGCGTCTCAGAAATTTGAGTGACACACCATTTTGCTCATAATTTGATGCCCTATCGAACTGCTCATTTAAAATAATTTCAAAGATT